AGGGAGGATGAACTGGCTTCCTATCTTTATTTACCCACCTGCTTGGACAGTTGTAGCAAGTTAATTTATAGAGTATCCCTTCCCTTGTGAATATCTTTCTCTCATATCACAGGAATTTATGTTTTAAAAGAAGCCAATTTAACCAAGCTTCCTTGAATTAACTAAATGAATGAGTTTATTGTTTACTACATGAAAGAAGAAAAAGTTATGCAACACACATATACATTGATTAGAAATAAGAGGTGACTTTATAAAGGTTAAAATTAAAACAAAAATGCAGATTGGTCTCTGAGTTGCTGGTGAAGAGCAAATAGATGAACATTGCATCATTGCAATAGGAGATACTGCTAGCATTGATGCTGTTTTGCAGTTGATTAAGATTCTATCATTCTCATTGTTTTGACCAAGATTGAATTCCAGCATTCAGGGTGAGAGAGTTCTTTTGTTGTCCTATTTTCTTTTGGCTGGCTGCTAGCTAGCTAATCTCTTGCACTCAGAGTGAGAGAGTCCCTTTACCTGCAACACAGGATTGCCTAGGGGATAGTTCTTCAATAATGCCCAAACTCAGTATAATACATATGAGAACCTCAGTTCCACTAACACACTCCAGGAAAATTGAAACTTGTCTTTTAACTTCTGCCCTTGTGTATTCTTCTAAAGGGAAAAACATAAAAAGTTTCTACAGTTTGGGAGATAATCTACAGGGGATGGCATGCTGTCGAGCAGGGGTTTGTCAGTCCTTTTGTAGTCACAACACATCACAGTGAGGTTGTAGACATGCTCGCCGAGCCAGTGGGTTTGGTGGCAAACATTTCGTCACCCTGCTCAGTAACATCGTCAGCGCACCTCCGGTGAAATGTTGGTGTTCTGTCCCGCGTGTTATTTATATACCTTGGTTTGCTGGGATGGTTGGTATTACTTCCAGTTCTGTTTCTCAGTGGTTTGTACACAAAGTCTAAGACAATGTATTTGTTGATGGAGTTCTGGTTGGAATACTAGGCCTCCTGGAATTCCCTGGCATGTCTCTTTTTGGCTTGTGCAATTATGGATGTGTTGTCCAAGTCAAATTAGTGTCCCTCTTTGTCCATGTGTTGTGAGACAAGTAAGAATTGGTCATGTTTCTTGGTGGCTAGTTGGTGTTCATGCATCCGTATAGTCAGTTTCCTTCCAGTTTGGCCTGTGTAATATTTCTCACAGTCCTTGCATGGTATTTTGTATATTACACCAGTTTTCCTGGTTTTGGGGATGGGATCCTTTACATTCATCAGTAGCTGTTGTAGGGCGATTGTCGGTTTGTGGGCTATTCTGGTACCTAGGGTCTGAGTGGTCTTGTAGTCATCTCTGAAATGTATGGTAGGGTGATTGGTGAATCTGGTCGTGTTGTGTCTTCCTGTTGTGGTCTGTCTTGAAGGTAACGGCTGATTGTGCTTTTCGGGTATCCATTCCTTTTGAAGACTCCTTATAGGGTGCTCCTGTTCTGCTTTGAGTAGTTCCAGGTTGCAGCAATGTGTTGTGGCTCAGTTAAATAATGTCCTGATGTAGCTCTGTTTGTGGGTGTTGGGGTGGTTGCTAGTGTAATTGAGTATCTCGTCCATATGTGTGGTCTTTCTATATATGCTAGTCTGGAATTCCCTGTTGTTTTGCGTTCTACCATTATGTCCAGGAAGGGTAGTCAGTTGTTGTTCTCTTCTTTGTGAATGTTATCCCGATGAGGATGTTGTTTGTGTGTCGGTGGGTTTCTTCTAGTTTTGTGCATTTAATAATCACGAAGGTGTCATTTACATATTGGACCCAAAGTTTGGGTTGTATAGTGTGGAGCGCTGTCCATTCTAACCTTGCATTACTGCTTCTGCAATCAGTCCTGATATCGGGGATCCCATTGGTGTTGCGTTGATTTGTTTGTATATACTGTGATTGAAGGTGAAGTGGGTTGAGAGGCACAGATCTAGTAGTTTCATGGTGGTGTCCTTCTTGATATTGTCGGTGTCCTGGGTTGCCTGCTTACACGATTCGTCCAGCAGTGTGGCGATTGTTTCTTTGACCAGGTTGATGTTTATGGATGTAAATAGTGCTGTTACGTCAAAGGATATCATATCATCATCTTGACACAACACAACCAGACTCCCTAATCATCCTACTGTACATCAAGGGCATTTCAGAGATGACCACAAGACTACTCAGACCCTTAGGTATCAGAGTAGCCCACAAACCAACAACCACCCTATGACAGCTACTGATGAACATAAAGGATCCCATACCCAAAACCAGCAAAGCCGGTGTAATATGCAAAATACCATGCAAGGACTGTGAGAAACACTACACAGGCCAAACTGGAAGGAAACTGACAATATGGATACACGAACACCAACTCGCCACTTAGAGACACGACCAATTCTCACTTGTCTCACTACACACGGACAACACATCTGTAATTGCACAAGCCAAACAGAGACACACCAGGGAATTCCGGGAGACCTGCTGTTCTAACCGGAACTCCATCAACAATACATTGAATTAGACTCTGTGTACAAAGCACTGAGAAACAGAACCAGAAGTGGTACCAAACACCCCAGCAAATTGAGGCATGTAAATAACAAGCGGGACAGAACACCGATGCTTCACCGGAGGTGCACTGATGATGTTAGCTATCAGGGTGACGAAATCCACGGGTTCGGCGAGCATGTCTACAACCTCATGAATACTGAACTCTATTTTGCTTCTGTTGTCCCCCATCTGTCCACCCCCATCTCCTAGCCCAGTGTCTTGATTGCATGCCTTTGCTGTCAGCAAAGCTGACCTACTTTTCTTGTAGGGCTATTCTTTTCTTTGTTTTGATGTTTTGTTGTTGTATGCTGATGGCTTGTTCCAGTGTGGATGTCCATTCCTGGTCGGTTGCATTGGATTTTCTCTACTGATGTTCCTGGATTGCAGAGCGTGAAGTGCTGTCCAGCTGCCTTTTAAATATGCTGCCCAGAGAATCCCGTTGAAGGCCAGACAATCCTTCTGCCTGCTCACAAAAATTTGGTTTTTTACCTGCACATAAGTATGTAATGAGCACGAGGAAGTTCCCTACATTGAAGAGATGTCTGTCTTGCATTTAGGCTCTGCTGCACACTTATTCTCTGAAAGACAAAATTCGGCCTAATTGTAGAAGGTATGACATTAAATGTGCACTTTGAGATTTTGGTCTCCTGGAATGATTTTGAAATTTCTGTTCAGGCATTTTTAAGAACACCAAAGAACAAAGAAAATGACAGCACAGGAACAGGCCCTTCAACCCTCCAAGCCTGCACCAACATGCTGCCCATCACAACTAAAACCCCCTGCCCTTCCGGGGACCATATCCCTCTATTCCCATCCTATTCATGTATTTGTCAAGATTCCCTTTAAACGTCAATATCGTATCTGCTTCCACTACTTCCCCTGGCAGCAAGTTCCAGGCACCCACCACCCTCTGTGTAAAAAACCTGCCTTGTATATCACCTTTAAACCTTGGCCCTTGCACCTTAAAGCTATGGCCTCTGGTGACTGACTTTTCCACCCTGGGAAAAAGCTTCTGACTGTCCAGTCTGTCCATGCCCTTCATAATCTTGTAGACCTCTATTAGGTCACCCCTCAACCTCCATCATTCCAGTGAGAACAACCCAAGTTTCTCCAAACTCTCCTCATCGTTAATATCCTCCATACCAGGCAACATCCTGGTAAGTCTTTTCTGTACTCTCTCCAAAGCTACCATGTCCTTCTGGTATTGTGGCGACCAGAATAAACAATATTCCAAACGCGGCCTAACTAAGGTTCGATAAAGCTGCAACATTACCTGTCATTTTTTAAACTCAATGCCCCGGCCAATGAAGGCAAGCATGCCGTATGCCTTGCTGACTACCTTCTCCATCTGCTGTACACCAGATCCCTCTGCCTATCAGTACACTTGAGGGTTCTGCCATTTACTGTATATTTTCCATCTGATTAGACCTTCCAAAATGCATTACCTTGCATTTTTCCAGATTAAACTCCATTTGCCATCGCACTGCCCAAGTCACCAACCTATCTATATCCAGCTGTATCCTTTGACGGTCCTCATTGCTATCTGCAATTCCACCAGCCTTTGTGTCATTGGTAAACTTACTAATCAGACCAGTTACATTCTCCTCCAAATCATTTATATACATTACAAATAGCAAAGGTCCCAACACTGATCCCTGAGGAACGTCACTAGTCACAGCCCTCCATTCAGAAATGCACCCTTCCACTCCTACCCTTTGTCTTCTATGACCGAGCTAGTTTTTTTATCCATCTTGCAAGCTCACCGCTGACCCCGTGAGACTTTACCTTCTGTATCAGCCTGCCATTACAGACCTTGTCAAAGACCTTACTGAAGTCCATGTAGACAACATCCACTGCCCTACCCTCATCGATCATCTTCATCACTTCCTTGAAAAACTCAACCAAGTTAGTGAGCCACGACCTCCCCTTCACAAAACCATATTGCCCCTCGCTAATATGCACCTTAAAGCTATGGCCTCTCATGACTGACTCTTCCACCCCGGGAAAAGCTTCTGACTGTCCATTCTGTCCATCTCTGTCCCACTCTCAAGTGGGAGTAAATCCTGTCTCAAAGAATCCTCTCCAATTATTTCCCTACCACTGACGTAAGGCTCACTGGCCTGCAATTAGCTGGATTATCCCTGCCATCCTTCTTAAACAAAGGAACAACATTGGTTATTCTCCAATCCTCTGGGACCTCCCCTGTGGCCAGTGAGAATACAAACGTTTCTCTCAAGGCCTCAGTAATTTCCTCCCTTGCCTCTCTCAGTATTCAGGGCTATATCCCATCAGGCCCTGGGGACTTGTCTACCGTAATGTTTATCAAGACCCCAAATACCTCCTCCCTTTTGATCTCAACATGACCCAAACTATCTACACACCCTTCCCCAGACTCAGCATTCACCAAGTCCTTCTCTATGGCGAATACTGATGCAAAGTACTCATTTACAACATAATGAAAGGATATTTTTATTAAAATATAAAGAAACTTATGTTTGATAGCCGAACCAGACAACTGCTTCTCCAAACGTTACATCGACAATCACTTCTCTGTTTTGAGCCTTACTGCTTCAATTCACAATTGATCCCCAACAAATCGAGTTTGCAGTAAATCTGTGACCTAACCAAACAACACAATATAAAACAGAAAAAGAATGAATTAGTTTAGTTTGCTATTTTTTGTTGTTATAATGTTGATGCAGTCCTCAAGGAAATGAGTTTCATTAACAGCAACTTATTAAAGAAGTTGCCAAAGAGTTGCTCTTGTTCACTGCCGCCTTATAGATTTTGTATTTGTTGGTTTAAAAAGGGCAAGATTTCCTTGAAAATAATGTGAGCTTTCCTTCAGTTCCGTACGTAATATCAGACTAAATAATATTTGAATACATCATCGTGTTAACATTGCATTATAAGCAGCTCTTCCCTAACCCCAAAACAAAAAAAAAGTGTGAAGTACTTTTTGATAAAAAATATTGCTCCTTTAAATTACAAAAAAGCCAGAGAAGGCAGCAATATTTTAAAATTAATTTTACTTTCCTGACTAATTTTAGACAATCCATACGACTATAAAAACTACAAATTTGAACATTGTGGATGCAATTGCCCTGAAAACTCATGAGAAAAAAATAGTTTCCTCAAATGTGTGATTGACTTTGTCATTATTGTTTCAAACAACAGAAGAAAATTACAGGAGAAAAGAACCCCTAAAGAAATGCATTAATGTTCTTGTAACAGATGTTATATGCTTTTGGTTGTCTGATATTGTGTAATATATATACAAACACTCACCTCTTTAAGCAAGGTAGATTTAATTGTTTTTTTTTCTTCTTGAATGTTCATTGTGAAAGATAGCGTTGAGAAATTGTGGTACATGTCTGGACTACATCAAGGCCATGGTTTACACCCTGTCTGGAGCTCAAATCCTCGGTTTAATTTTTATTTGGCTCAAATCCAGCTGAGATAAAAAGATGATTGCTAATGATGAATTTGAGCTGGGCTGCCAAAGAGCAAGCACCCCATTCTTCAGGAAACCACAAGCAACAAATGACAGACCAAAGATGAATGATCAACCACTCAAATTAATTTTTTTAAAATCTATTTTAAGGGCATTCAAATGATCGCTCAATAAATGCATAACTGGAGCTGCAGAACAAACTGTTGATAACAGTTAATACTTAAGTACATTATTATTTTCTATCTAAAATAAGGATTAGTAGTTAGACTGCACTCCACAGAGTTCGCTGACCTTATACACCATTAGTTTCTCTTTTGCAGATGAGCTATTTCTGGTTTTACATTTTATTTCATTTTCCTTTTGAATGTTCATATCAACCAGTGCTCCTGCAACTTATTGCTCATCTGGAAGTTTTTCTATAGTTGTAGCTTGCTGAGGTATTTACGATTCAAATCCATGGGAATGAGTGAAGTGCTGGTACCCTGTGATAGACACACCCAAAATAAATTAGCACTTGTCTCTTCCAGTATAAGTACGTTTTAAATAAAACCTTGGACAGAATCTTCTAAGGATTTGGCGATGAGAGCTATGGGGGGTGGGTGGGGGAGGTGGGAGCGGGCGGTGGGGTGGAGATGTGTGGGAGAATCGGGACTGAAGCCCAATGAGGCCCATCTTGATGTTGGAATCATCTCTCTCCATGTGGTATGGTGAGATTCTCACCAGGCACTGGTGAGTTGCCAATTGTCAAGGATTAAAACTTATTAAGCTGCGCTGATGGCCCAACCAGCCTCATTAATATTCCCATTACCAAACATGCCAAACAAACCAACCACTGCGGAAAGCCTGATAAGAAAACCGGAGCAGGTATTTGTTGTTTTTAACCTGCCTGCTCCTTCGAACAACCTCCATCTTGCCCATGACCAATCTACAGAGCAGGGCAAGATCAACGAGCACCACCAGGGCACAGTGGCTCAGTGGTTAGCACTGCTGCCTCACAGCGCCAGCAACCTGGATTCGATTCCACCCTCGGGCAACTGTCTGTGAGGAGTTTGCACATTCTCCCTGTGTCTGTGTGGGTTTCCCCCGGGTGCTCCGGTTTCCTCCCACAGTCCAAAGATGTGCAGGTTAGGTTTATTGGCCATGCTAAATTGCCTGTAGTATTCAGGGATGTGTAGATTAAGTGGGTTATAGTGGGGTGGGTCTGGGTGGAATGCTCGGTGTGGACCTGTTGGGCCGAAGGTCTTGTTTCTACACTGTAGGGATTCTATGATTCACCAACATGTTCCCTTCCACCACAAACACTGCCAGGCAACTGTCAGGAGGCCATCACCACCATGCTGGTATCTCTCCAAAACAATAGCAGGGCACCCTGCAAGTCCAGACCTGTCCAGTGGACAAACTGGCAACTAGGAGTACATGGCTGCACTGGGTATAGTTACCATACAGGGAGAAGCATGCAGTCAACAGTATAGGTCAGGCTACCTTCCAGGGCTGCTCCCTTCTGTGCATGGCATATTAGTAACATATGAATGTCTTTCCTACCCTTGCCTGGTTCTGCCATGCCTTGCAGTAGCAATTGGCACAGTCACACATCCAGGCAGGTGACAGTGCTGTGCATCAATCCTGGGTCAAGGATGTTTATATTTGTTTAGTACCTGACCATGTGGCTCTAGTGTTCATGCCAAGCACTTTGCATCTGCAGGAGGCAGTGGGAAACTTCTGAAAGTCTTAGGGGACTGGTCCGCTGTGAAGTTTATAGGAGTAGCAGTCAGTCAGGGAGGCTCAGCACAGTTAGTCAAGGGGAGCCTCCTATACCAGTCCCAGGCTTCGACCATGGTCAGGCACCCAGTGGGTTTCTTTGTACAGATGCCCATGTCTACATGCTGCAGGGAGCAGGTCACTGTCAGTCCTTTGCCTCCATATGGACCAGTCCAAGGGGCATGTCTGCAGTTGGGGACATAAGTGGCCACCAGTATGGACCAGTGCTGCACATCAGGACACTTGAGGGGGTGGGCTATGATCATCTGTCACCTACACTCACTAAGATTAAGGAGACAGGGTATGAAGTTTGGAGGTGGGGTTGGGACAGGTAGGCAGATGTAGTCAAATATACACAGCTTGGGTGATATTCTGGGGAAGCGTGAAACCATCCTGCAGCATTGACCATCTCTGTGTGTTGCACCTCCCTGGCACTGTCACTGCTGGGGAAATGCCTGAGACACACACCCCCGTGCACACATACAGCTGAACAGTGGGTAATGTTGAGAATGCCATGTACACACATTGCTACCCCTGTGGCCACATGATGTAATTGATGCCCGTTGTAAACTCTTAACCATTGTGTCACGTTCTTGTCCACAGAGCGATGCCACACAGAACAATGACAGGTCTAGGCCCAACACTGAGACATGGATAACCACATGAACAGTGAAAAATAAGTCTTTATGAGTCAAACAGTACAATTTTCTTCTTTTCTCCCTCCCACTGTGTGACACTGCGTTCCTCTGTTCTGCAGTGGGGTGGAGGGAGCCTGCTTCTTGCTGGAGGCTATTGGCCCTGAAAGTTTGGTCAGACAGGGGCATTTGGGTTTCAGTTGGCCAAACATGCTGAGGCAATTTAACTGTTCTTGGCCTGAACTTCCAAGGTTTGGAGATGGGGTAGGCAGGGTGGAGGAAAGGGCCTGGCTAGCTCCTGATCTGAATCTACTGAGGGGTCTGCATGTGATTGGATACCTCGTGCCACCACCCTGTCTCCTTCTGGGGAAGAGCAGCTGGACTGGCTTTGCACCCCTCTCTTGTCCTGCCTTTAGTCCTGAGATGAGCGAGGAATGGAATATGGGTTATTGCAACCCTCCAGTTGCCTGAGGGAATTGGGCCTGTCTCTCCCTGATAGCCACCAACCTGCCCATGTTGTTGTAGTACGTGCTGCATCGCTCCAGCTTTTCCCCGATGAGGACCAGTGAGCCCTGTACATCTGTCTGCTGCTGCTCCCTTTGCATTTGTGTGGGAGTCCCTGATAGCACCTCTGAGCCAGTGACCTGGGACAGTTCTCCCTCAACCATCCAGGGGACAGTCACTGAGAGGTCCTCGGCAGCCTTTAATCCCACACTCTGGTCACGTATTGACGCTGATTGAAATTTCACTATCAGAGCTCATTCAGGTCCAGGAGGCGGCTTCCCTCCAGACCCTGGACACTGTTATCAGCAGAGCTTACGGACATGTCCTCTCAGGGAGATGGGTCTCTCTCTGCAGATGGATCTGGGATACTGACTGTAAGACACAAGAGACGGAAAACCTCGTGCCCACAGGTGGGGGTGGTCAGCAAGACAGTCCATCTCCCTGCATCACAAATGAGCGATGGGGAGCCAATTCAGCATGTAAGGGCCATCTAAGGTCTACTGTAGGAGAGCGTCCGGCATTATCCAACCAGCCTCCAAGTATCTACAGGTACCAAGGGACAGTTGAGCCCAGTGGCAGTGCTAACTATCGGCTTAGAGTCCCTTCCCGTCTGGCTGAGCATAGCAGGCCATCTGCTGCAGGTAACACCGCCAACACACTCCCCAACCCATGGTAACAGTTTCCCGGCAGCAAAAGTAATTTTTAATTTGAAATTTGGAGAGGTTGGAGTACCATTGATCTATTTTTGGGTGTCGTCCCCCAACACTTACCTGTCACAGCATCTTTCTGCCGTTTTCAAGCGGAAAAGCCACCCTGTAGACACTAAACATTCAAGAGTCTGGTATAGCTACCATTTGACCAACTCAGGAAATTCACAGTGAGGAACTGTTTCCCAGCGTATACAGGCTGCTGACCCCCTGTGGAGCATTTTTTCAGAGTTTGAAGTCATAGATTCATACAGCACGGACACACACCCTTCAGTCCAACTCATCCTCGCACATCCCAATCTGACCTAGTCCCATTTGTTAGCATTTGGCCCATTTTCCTCTAAACCTTTACTATTTATACACCCATCCAGATGCCTTTTAAATGTTGTCTTTGTACCTGCCACCACCACTTCCTCTGGCAGCTTGTACCATGCACGCACCACCCTCTGCATGAAAAAGTTGCCCCTCAGATCTATTATAAATCTTTCCCCTCTCACCTTAAACTTATGCTCTCTAGTTTTGGACTCCCTAACCGGGAAAAAGACATTGGCTATCCATCCTATTGATACCCATCAATATTTTATAAACCTTTATAAGGCCACCCTACAGCCTCCAATGCTCCAGGGAAAGATACCCCAACCTATTCAGCCTCTCCCTGTAATTCAAACTTTCCTCTGCAGGAAAACTCTAACTAACCTGTCTGCTTCTGAAAATTAATGTGGAGCCTCATGTCTTGGGACTTTGATTGTTACTGAAGATTCAGAAAATATTTATTTTTGTGTTTTTTTTAATCTCTCTTTGACTTAATCCAGTTTTTCTATTTTATCGTCTCCCTATGATTTGGCATTTAATTAAATGTTTGAATTGACACATCTTGATTCAGGTTTTGTCCATTCTTCAATGTAATAAAGAGGTAGTTGATTGCCCTGTTATCTCTCCTAGGTTCCCTTTAGGAGTTGCCGCAATGAAATGGATTTTTAATCACTACAATTTCCACAGTAAAAGGCATCCATGAGCAAGTATAAGTATAATGAATAGCTAATGCCATACATCTGTCCATTGATTACAGAATACAGGCCAATAATTATTCAGCTCAAATACTTAGGATTGTCTTTAGTATAGACTGATGAGTTGAAATTGTCCTTTATCTGTTAGCTTTTGATCATGTGAAAAAATCCTTGAGCATCCTCAGTGTGCACAATGTCCTTCATTTCATGTTGAACATCTTAGAGGTCATTGGCATTGCTACTTTACAGTTGAGGTTTAAGCATTTTATTGAACTGAGTAGCTGGTCCTTCAGGAGAACACTTTTACAATTATGCCCTATGAGGCGTGG